TTAGGGAAAAAAGAGAAGTTGAAGTTAGAGCAGCATGCAGGAGAAGCGCTGAAATGAAGAATCCATGAATAGCCTGAACAGAGTTTTCTATTCCTGGAGCTCACAGCTGACTATAGAAAAACTTCTAAAGATTAGAGGAAAGGTTTCTTACTGAAGGAGGAATTTTTTATATTATTAGTTTGTACATTCCTGGATTAGGCTTTTCAGTTTTTTAAAGATGCCTCCATCATGTTACAACATACATACTCTTTCTACAAAGCCTTGGGTCCAGGAGAGGAATGTGTAAGTATTTGCCTTAATCATAATCTTTCTTAGAAGTCCTGCAAGATAAAAAAGAAATGCATATATGTTGCATGATAATTTGATCCAGGTACTTTACAGGTCTTAACTTATTATATACTGATGAGCAGCATTTTGTGAAGTAGGTAAGCAGATATTGATCTTGTTTTTCAGGCCTGAAAGACAAAACCAGAATAAGTGGGAAAAAAAAAAATCTTGCCCCAAAATGCTTAAACAGAAAATTATTGAAAAAAAGTGTCATTATGCATTATGAATCTCAGACAGAGAAAAAACTACTTGAGGTGCTCTTTTGACTGAAGTTGACAGTATTCCAGCAGCAGCAAAACGTGCTTGGCAAAGCCAGATCAGCACTAAAACATTGTACTGAATTTTACTGGTGGAATTACATTGTCACATTTGAACTGATCCCTGTTGCTTGAAAGCATCAGGATTTTGTTGTGTATCCCAGAACACAGATATATACATGATATAGTTGCTCAGTGGGGAAAATCTGGTTTAACTGAATGTAACTGATTAGAGTACACTTGCAGATATGGAAGTTAAAATTACTTGCGTTGGTGTCTGCCATTTATTTGAGGAGTGAACATAATGGAGTCAAACCTCCAATTTAATCTGTAGTCAGCAGGGTTCTAATCTGTTCAGCAAGACTTCAGAGGATTTTTAGTTGGTTGCCTCAACCATTCTGCCTTTCCACATTTGTGGAAACCTTGCTGTACTAGTAAGAGGGTCAGTGCTGATGACTCGCTCTGGCCATGGAAAGTAAGGGTATGATATTACTGTCCCTGTAAACCACAGGTCCTGTGGTGAGGCCTCTCCAGCCACTGACTGCTCTCCGTTCTTGAAAGTCACCACACCGTGGGAAATTGGTGGGAGAGTGTAGCCCAGGGTGTTGAGATCTCATGATTTCTCTGATATTAAGATTAAGATCCTTTCAGGGAACACTTAGTACCACAGAAGACAGAGTACCTTGATCTTTCCTTCACATTAAAGAGCAATTATGTAGAATATGTAGTATGTGCAGTTTTCCTGACATACTGCTGATTTTTTTAGACAAAATCCACAAAAAAATGCGTATTCTCCATAGTGTGGGAGAACATACTTCTGAGAAGGTCAATCATGATTCATTATATAGACATTGAAACTTCTTTCCATCACATTTTCGGCTTGTGTCTTTTCATATACTCTTAGTTGCCACTTCTCAAGTAAGCAGCTAAATTAGTAGCTGAGCTGTAAATAATAGTAAAACCCCTCTAAAAACAATTTTGTTGTTAAAGTGAAGGCATATTTTAAAGTTTCAGTGATTTTCCACTGTTCCTTCTTTAGTGCTAAGAGAGAACAAGGAATTCCCATCTTCATTCATGTACATGCTTTTGGTAAAAAGCTTAATCCTTCAGTGGTAAATATTAAATGCTTTCTTTGAGTTTCCCAGCACCTTTAAGTCCTTCCATCAACTTCTTGAATTGCACCCACTCCACCTTCTCCAAGCACAGAAGATAAACACAAAAGATTTCATGAAATGAAATGAAATGATTTAACAGGGAGGTTTTCTGGGAAGTATTTGAAGACCCATAGCAATGCACAGCACAAATACGAAATCTATCCAAGTCACCCTCTGAAAGCACAGCACCCTCTTAAAGTATCACAGACAGCTTTGGTTGCCCAGCTATCCTCACCTACAACCAAGCAATGGGTTAGAAGAGAAAAAGAACACAGATGCATTAGCAATCCTCAGAAACCTCTGTTCTCCTTGCTTGGTACCGCAAATGACTTAGGTACTGTGTATTGAAACTGATTGCAAAATCCATACCGTGAATCGAAGCTCCTTAAGAGCTTCATGCACATCCTTGCACGGAAGGGTAATTGTCAGTGCTCTGAGCTTCTGTCCTGGAAGTCTAAATTAAGAACAAGCCTCTGGGTTGCTGCTAGGCCTGCAGTAACTTCTCAGGCTTTGTCCTCCTTCTGTAACCAGCTGACCTGAGCTGCCCCCAGAATACAAATCCACTGTACGTGCTGTCAAAACAAATTACTAAATATCAGGCAGCACCACAGAGGAGACAGAAGCCAGGATCTTAACAAAAGTAAAAGGTTGCTCTCTCATGCTTGCTGAGGAATTAAAGTAAACTAAATGCTTTGGTGGGAGGGAAACATTCGCCTTTCACCAAATGCTGCCCTGAGACTTGATCCAGAAAGTAATCAAGTCTCCCATGAGGAGACAGAGTGAGATGTGAAGAGACAGAGTGAGATGTAATGAGACTCTGCCCATGTATCTAAGAAGTGCACTCAACACACAGTGCGTGCAGGCCTTAGGAAAAGGACTTGAAGGGAAGAATTTTCTATTTACATTGTTCATGGTGGAGGCTGGGGACACGTACAAACTGGGAGGAAATTTATGCAAAGAGTGAGAACTTGCTACCTTGTTTCTCCTGTGATATCGGCTGAAGCATGTTGAGAACCCTAGGTGCTTAATGATTGTAGGGCTGCAGAAGGAGTCTCCATCTGCATCAGTAATGGCACTGGGAGCCACCTTGGGCTCTGGGCACACTTTTTTTGGCTTTCCCTGTGTCTCCTGCTGCCACTGCCCAGACCGTGGTGGCAGCAGATGTGGACAGGGCAGCTCTGGTGTCACCAGGTCCCAGGCACCACCATGGTTATGTACCTCCTCCTCCTTGTTGTTCACTGCTCTGTGATGGAGCTGTGTGTGCTGCTGGAGTGATTTGATCCAGTGGTTAAACTGACTTTTTATAAGCACTGTGCCTAGATGCCTTTGGGAGACGTGGGTGAGAAGATGGGACAGGACACTGAGAATGCTGTTTGAATAATAGAAGAATAGCCTCTGGTTAAATTTGTGCTGATAATCCCTAGGGAGCTAATACTGCTTTCAGTTACATGATTTCTTTTTTGCTTCACCTGGGAGTATCTCCCTCACCTTCCACATACTACTTGCACCATCAATTCCTTAGAACCTTCTCTGCTGCTTTCTTATAGGGATGCATGTTGGATCTGAATCCATTACTGCTTAGTGATCTAGATATTTAAAGCTTACTGCTTAGGTTAAACCCCTACATTCTTCTACTTAAAATATTTACAAATGAAAAGTAAGTTAATTTAAAATGCCACTAAGTTAAGCTGATTCTACTTGCTTGAACTAATATCTCTGTATAGTTCATCAGAATTAACCAAAACATGTGGATATGGATGTTTCAGTAGAGAAACAGACAGAATAATAAGGAAATCTCATTTCCGTTTTTAAAAGTCCTAATTATCCTGACAATTAAGAGGGAATCAGTTTTCCAGTAAAAAAACAAATGAGGAAATTTCTTTAATCAGAGCACAATATGCAAGGCCTTCTCAGAATAGTCCAGACTAATGCAGACTTGAATGTAAAATGCCTGTACATAATGAAATAATGGTTTTGAAGAGTCCAGGGATGCTGATGCTCTGAAAGGCTGTGATTTCCCCATAACCTACCTGGTAGCTTTTGAACTCCGTGCCTGTTCCAAAAATTGGCAGAGAGACAGAGATCTCAAAGACATATTTCACCTTGACATATTTCTTGAAAACTGGTGGGGCAATAAGGGAAGAAGTCAGCAGTACTGGGAAGGAGGAGGAGAGATTTGTCACATGGTCATGAAAATATAACTCTGTAGGGAACAAATCTACAGGAGTCCTGTTTTTTGTAAAATATGTTTGTTCTCATTTACAATAGACTAGGCAAGAAAACCCTGCCAGAATTACATGTTTTGTTGTTTTGTTATTTTTTTAATGGTGATTTGCAATTGACTGTATACTTCGTCATTATTTTGAGGAGACTTTGTTGTTTTATTTGATTTAGAAGTAAGCTTACTTACTTACCTGTGCAGTTTGGAGGTACTATTCAAGCACTGTTCTTTGCTCCATTGCATCAGTTTTATGCCATGATTTTACTGAAGACTCCATGATATGTGTCATATAGAGAAGCTGAACACATTTGAAACTGGCATGCCAAATAAAGTATTGGGAGAACAGAAGGCTTTTTTTCCTTGGAGTGGGGAGGCCTGCCATTTTTGTAATGAAACAATTTGGAAACATTCATAAGGTGGCCTCCATGCTGTAAATGGACTTTGGAAAGAGTAGAGGCTGATGATAAATCATGGTAAACCACGGAAATCACTTAATCTATGTGGGGGGCTGGTGAAGGGGAAGAACTGATGGCATCATGTCTTCTAGGACAGATTATAACATCCCAACCAGATTATAAACCTCCTTCCCCTTTTATGCAGCTTAGAACAGTAGTCTCTTTCTTGTAAATGAGGTCTCCTTCAATGAAGAGTGTTGGGTAAGAGTCTGAATTAAGAACATGTGAGGAGAAACAAAAGAACGAAGCCTGTTTAATTAGAATGAAAGAAACTCCCCCCTCAAATCCTCCAATCCCAGTTTAGCAGAGTGTAGGGGTTGTTAAAGCTGAAAGGTCTGACTTGCTGACTTAGGTAAACGCAATGCTCGGCAGATGAAGTCATGCATAATTAATTGTTCTTTGTTGCATTCTTTCCAATGTAATTACTTGTAGCATTCAAGCTTATAATAATTGATGTTTTCTGTGTACTGGAGCTTCAGGACAGCCAATTAAGGCAGTGTAGGTGGTAACTGTGCGGCATCTCTGGCATCTGTTTGTTACCAACATGTGTGCTATAACTTTTTTTCTTTTCTTTACTTGTTTCTAGTGTCTAAAACAGTACATGCAGCTGGCAATTCAAGAAGGTTGTGGTTCTCCTATCACATGTCCAGACATGGTGTGCTTGAACCATGGGACTCTACAAGAAGCAGAGGTATTTACAATTTTTCTTTCTCTCTCTTCTTTTTTTTTTTTTTTTAACTTAAATCCCCCAAATTATCTGCATAATGAATATGATCATACACTTTTTCATCCCTTTAATTACCATTAATGAGCTTTTGGCAAGAAGCCTGACTGACAAGCGGAGTTAGAAATAAACAGATGTTTTCCAAATGTTTTGCTCTTCGTTCCCTCCCTCTGTGCCTTGGGGAAAGGTTTACTTGGCACCTGGACAACCTCTGTATTACACATGCAGGTGACTTAACCAGAATACCCTGTATCCCAGAATCGCTGAGCCTCCATTAGCATTGTCAGTTAAATCATATTTGATTTGACTGCAAACACTGGAATTCTTGCCTCTTTCTTAACTCAAGAACAAGAACTCAAAGTGATGGTACACAAGGCCAGAATTTCTTTGTGTATGTTGATATTGGGCTTCAAGAACCAATTTGTAGTCCAATATAAACACACAAGGATCTGTAGTTGTGTGGAAAGAAAAGTATCTGCATAGCACTAGGTGGAAGTACATCTTAAGAGATACGAAAGGTGTCTTTGTTCTGAAGGCAGATACGGGAGAGGCTGAGAGCTCAGGAGCTAAATGAGATTTAGGCAGAACTATTTGCACACCTGGCATGTTCACAATCTCCCAGAGTAACTGGAAGGTTCAGTTTGCAAGTTAAGGCAGAGAAACTGGAGGGAAAATGTGCTCCTCAGACCTTCTTGCAATGCTTGTCACAATGGGCTTGTAGATGGCTGTCCGATGGCCTCCCAGCAGTTTTCCAGGTGGCTAAGGGATTTTGGCTGGTTTTGTGTGTTCTCTCAGCATTTGGTTGCAGGAATAAAATCAAGGAGAATTAGATCTCCATCCCTGAACTGAAGAAAACCAGTTTGTCTTCTGGGTTCCCTTGAGCCCTGTGTAAACAAATGACATAACTGTGGCAGAAGTATATAATTAGTGACAGTGTGATTCCTGATACCAAAGATGTCTTTTACTCCAGAAAAATTCAGAATTTCCTCTCCAGCATCCATTTCGAACGCTGTGCTTAGCATGGGAGTTGCAACTATGTTTGTTATGGCATGCAGGCATATGGTGGAGCTTTTTTTGGCTGAATCCAGCTACTGTGGAAAGTAGCCAGCTGTTTCCCTTTCCTCCTCTTTCTACACAGACACAGAGAGGGTGTAGCAATGTCTCTCCCATCCATCACACCAGATTGGAGGCATCTAGCCTCTATTGAAATGCATTTTTAAAAGAAAGTTAACAAATGCTAGAAGGAATTCTGCTCTGTTAATCCAGGGTTATGATGCTGTAGGAATTAGGAGAGATATATTTTCCCTTAGTAAAACAGGAGAACACTCCAACGCATGTATAAATGGACCACTAGCTTAATCCTAGGGTGTTTTTGGGGCTGAAGGCAAAATGACTAAACAATCCAAATGTGCATTAGTGTCCCCTGGATGACTGAATGTTCTGACACTCCCTTTTGGTGATGTGCTTGAAACAGAAGCCTTCTGCCTAAATAGCAAAAAAGTCCCCAACCTGGTTAAAATTATTGCTTATGTATTTTAACAAATACCTATTTATTTGAAGAAGAAAACCACTCAGAAAAAAGTGTGAACAACAGAAAGAAAAGATTGACTCCATTAACAATCTACAAGTATGTAATCTATAGATTATGTATGAGAACTCTCTATTCCTCTTTCTTCTCTATGAAGGCTGTTCCTTGTGAATATCTGGCCTTTTAAAGCTATTATTTAAAAACCTATAACCTTATCACATGGTAAAGAATGTGCTTAAATATGGCTATTGTTTGGCATGGAGTACCAGTTAGAATTACAGTTTACTCATTACACACTCTTGGACTTGTGGTGTGAAAGTATGAGGCTTCTCACGTCTGGAGGGTCTGGATATTTGTTCTTTGGCTTCTGGTAGGACAAGGTTCCTCAGCAGGACAGTGCTGTGAGGAATGACAAGTTACCTGTACTGGGGAAAAAAAAGAAAAGTTCGTTTTTTCGACTCTGTGATAGCATCAGTGTTTTGAAAAGGTGTATTTTTCATGTTATGTTCATTTCAGACTATGTTATGACTGCTGTTTATGAGGTACTGTTACAGTTTGGAGAAAAAACAGCAGTTCACACTGTCTTTGTCATGGACATGGTGTTAAATTAGTTCCTATACTTCGGGCTAAATGCTCTTAATTATGTTAGCTAGCACAGTTATTTTGTTTGCTTTTTAAAGTGCCTTTTGGCCTAGCCTGCACAAGAGAGATAAAGGTCAATTTAGGCGTAATTTGAAGTGAAGGAAAGCCTTTTCATTGACTTTTGTGGTTTTGGCTCGAGCTTTCTTCAAGAAGGAAACTGACCAATAATAACAAAGCTTATAAGCATTTATAACACAGTATAGCTATGAAAGTTTCTCTTCTTCCCTCTCTAAAGATCCTTTTTCAAGGCGTGTAACATTTCTCCAGTGCTTTCCAGTGACCTGTTTGTCTTCATCAAGACAAACCAGAATTAAGTCTGGTTTAGCCTCTCAGTAAAACTTTTAAGAGTTTAAATCTAGTTTGGTGCTAAATTATTGGAGCTTTTTCACAGGTCTTGCCTTGCTTCTGGTTCATGTTCTTCTTCTGTTGCTTTTGGGGAATAGAGCAGGGCAAAATTCTGGTTAACATTTTAAACAAAGAATAGAATTTCTTTTTGTATATCACATGAAGAAATGAGCAAGTGTAAATAGTAGGAATGTGTCTCTCTAATACAGTTGAATATTTCTTCAGTGTTTGGGGAGTAAACTGCTTATTCATAGAGTACTGGAGATGTTGGGAATTAAGGCTTTACTTTCAGTCTCTGCATCCCTCTGGACCCAAGAAAAAAAAATTCCAGGTTTTTATTCTTGAAGTGCTGAAAGTGAAAAGTCATTTGAAGTAGAAAATGGTACTTTTCAGTATTTTAAAAACGTATTCTCTGAAACTCCTCTGGTTTGTTTTTTTTTTTCTTTTAACACGATCTAATTGAAACTTTTATATTCCCCAGCTGTCCTTTTGTTTTGACAAATAGTGCATTCAAACAGAAGGAATTGTTCTGCTAGAGTGCTTGAAATCAAGTGCAATCCTAGGTCATATCTTGACCTGTTACATCTAGATAGCAGCTGCTTGTAGTATAGCTGTCTTTAAGCAGAAATAAATGAGGGGTAGTCATGGTAAGACAGTGGTTTTGGCTACAGGCTCTGTTTCAAATAGCTGGTTACACACAAAAAAAGAAAGTTTAAAAACAGTCTTGTTAAATAAAATGTTTGTCCTTTCGAGCTCTAATGGTACAATAAACAAAGATGATTTTGATTCCTTCCTGGAAGCAGAAGGTAGAAGGAATGTTTTATGTTAATGCAGTTCTCTTAAATAGTGCAGACTTCTGTCTGGAATATTTCTGTCTCTCTTGGGAACTTGCTCCATTGATTTAATTGGACCAGTTAATACCCCTAATCTAAATAAGGGGTAATTTATCACAGTTTGAAATGGTTTTGCTCGATGTGAGTCCAATCACCAGTGTAAGCTATGAACCAGGATAAGTCTCCACTGCATTCAGGGGTTTCTAATGCAGTACTCACTTGGATAATGTCTAGGAGATTACGCTTTGCTCTTTCTGATTTGGATCAAAACTGTGAAGTAGTCAGTAAAGGAGGTACTGATTTGGGCCCTCCTTTTGCCTCTTAAGTTTGTAGAGAATTACCCCTTTGCATGCAGTGCAGATTCTGCTTATTGTCCCTCTGTCTGTGTAAATACAGGATCTACACCAGTGCTAACCTGACAGAGGGTTGTCAGCACTTTGTAAAGTGATGCTGGGGTCACTTTGTACAGTAACCCAAATCTTAGAATTCTTAATTGCATTATATTCCATACATAGCCGAACAAAAATCCCACTGGGAGTCAGTTTAAAATGCCAGTTTTATTTTTAATTTGAAAATTGGTTTACATTTTTCTAGGGGATATTGAAATGGTAAAATGAGAAGGAATGTGAGAAAATGTTGCAGGCTGACCTATCTTTTTCAGAGTCAAAATGAAAATGTTTGATCTTATTTCCTCATTTTTAAATAAAATGGAGAGCAAACGAGAACCTTAATTTTGTTTTTATTTGTCACTAAATAAGAGAAGAGCTCCTTAATGGAGAAAATGAATAATTTAGTATTTCTTTATCACTCTAGTGAGCATGGTAGCTGATGAAGAAAGCTGTGGGTGTAATTTCTAGCAATAAAGAGATTGAACTCCCATCCCCCTTTCAAAAGCAAACCACAGCCCCTGTTGAAATTGTTTTACACTGCTTGCAAAACGAGACAGTGCCTCTGTGAGTAGAATTTTGGTAGAGGTGGACAATGCCACCCTTTTCAAACTGCTGTTGCTGCTACCAGTGCAGGATCTGTCCTTGCTCCCTGTCTGCTCAAGTGAGAGGGAGAAGCACTTGTCCTGGTCAACTTCTCTCCCTTGACATTATCGAGGTTTGATTCATGTGGGTGTGAAAGGAAGTAAGGTCTATTCAATTTTCTTGATTGCCTCCTTACATCTCCCTTGAAAGCCTGAGAATAGGTGGAGTAGTGATTTTCCCTTTCCACTGTGGTAGCCAGTGTTTAAAAACAGGGGAGTTCTTCCTTGGGTCTTGGTTGCTGCACTGCCTGTAACAGTTTGCCCCTCTGTCAACTGAACAAAATTATTTTGAACCCTTTCATATTTCTTTCTTTGCTCTTTTGTCTTGTGTAGTAACAGCACCCCTGGTTATCATACCATGCTGGGTGATCTTTTTGGATGCTTGGCAAGGGGCCAGCTGGAGCCCTTTGTGGTAGTAAGCCTTCAGAACTTTGCTTTTTTCCATGGATATTTTTACTTTCAGTGAATGCTGCTGTTCTTAGCAAGAGCTCTTGTGTGTTCTTGTGCTCTATAACAAAGTACTTTAGCTGCAGATGTTGCTTATAGGGTGTAGAAAATCAGAAAACTTATTTCAACTCCTAACAGTCTGATTAGTCTCAAGATATTTTCAGGAGAGGAGAGTCCTAATCTTTCACTAAACCCCCCAATATAAAAAAAAAAATCCCCCAAACTTGTCCTGTAGCATTTCTTCCTCCATTTCTGATGTGCTTGTGGTCTTTCTCTTTTGGCCCTTTGCAATCTGCTGGGTTGCTGTTTTGCTACCTCCCCAGATTTCCATCCCCTGACCAGCCCAGAGACATTTGTGGTTGTGCAGGAGAGAAATGGACACCCAGGTAGAGCTCGAGAAATTGTCTGGAGATGAGCATTTAGACTGATGCCAAGTAGGAGGAGATAAACACCAAATCCCCTTATCATGCTTATGGCTGTCCTTCTTGATTAAGTGTAAGTGAGATTAAAAGTTCACTGAGGAAAGGATTTGCTGTTTTGGTTTGGTTTGGTTTGGTTTTTTATGGGGACCTGATGCTCATGTTTCTTTCTTTCCTTCTCCCTTTTTTTTTTTCAGTTGAATCTGTGTGTACAGCTTTGATGTGGCACTGAATTCAAGCAGCAGCAAATTGCGCATTCTTTTCCTCGTGCCTAAAAATACTAAATCTATGAGAGATTTCTGCTTAGCACCTCTCAGATTGATGACTGTGTGGGAGTTATCAGGACCTGGTCTTTCGAATCTGGGGAAAATTAGTGACAGGCTGCATATGTTCAATACCAGAGCTGCATGCAGAGAGGGGGAAGCTGAGCTATGAAGAGGGTATGTAGGAAGAGGAGTGGGGCCAGGTGAAACCAGTGGGAAAGGCTGGCAAAGCTCAAATCTTCCATAGGAGAATGGGAAGCCTTCAGCACTGGCTCTGCTTCCTATTGAAATCTACAATAAAACTCCTACGTCTGCTCCCACTGTAATCAAAAAGGCCAATTTTTAATACATGGGAAATTCTGGGCTTGATAGATCTGCTCTTGAAAAGATTGTTTGTTAAAAGCCAAAGCAAGCACAGAAAGACCCCAGACAACTAAACAATTCACTTGAGTGGCTCTTACAGCACTGAGACTTGCTGTTTTAGTTTAGTCCTAATGAAGGAAAATTTGAAGTAGTTGCCAATGCTCACCCAGCTAGAGAAACGCATATGACTGTTATTGTTTTCCAAACTATTTAGGTTTGAAGCTGCCCTGGGGAGGAGTGGGCAATACTGAAATAATATGTCTTTGCTGAAACTGCCAAACTTCACTCCTTTTACCCTTTCGTTTAGTTATTATTTATTTTCAAAGAGTGTTTTAGCTGACTTCTGATGAACAGGTGAAGAGTTTCCCAGGAAACTCTCTGTGTTTACAATCATATTAATGTAATACTGTTTCATATTAAAAACAGTTTACATGCTAAATTCAGAAACTGAGTGAGGACAGTACTTTGACTGTGGGCAGATTTACTAGACTAAGAATATACTCTGTAAAGATTTGTTTGTGTTTCCTATTTTGTTATTAAATCCTTTGATTTCTCCAACTATAAGCATCTTTTAAGCATCTTTGAACACTTAAATCCTGACATAATTTGTATTCATTTTTGTATAATACTGGCTTAGGTTAAATAAATGATCCAAGCATCTGCTACAAAATGCAATGTTGTGCAATCAAGTCCAATTGATTCGAGATCTTAATAAAGCAATTTCATATTTAATAATACAAATGTATTTATTATTTTCTTTTTTTTTAATCTATGAAAGGAAATGTGTTCACAGTATGATATGGAATACATATTGGATTTTTGTTATTATATTTCTTCTCATGAATACTGTATCACACAATCCAGAAGGGGAGCAAGGACCAGTGTCCACTTCACTGAAGGCAAATTTTGCCTTTTGCAGTAATCTGAAGGATTGTGGTGGGTTACTGGATGAGAGTATCCCACTGAATGAGAGCCCTTGGCTTCAAAGTTCCACACTGCCTCACAGTGCTTCAAATGATCAGGTCTTGTATTAGTATCAGTCTGGGTTTATTTTCAGTAAAAGAGAAAGATATCTTCAGTGCTGGTACAATATTACAAACAGATCAGACAAAGAGAATGATCCCACATTCTGAATCCAACAAACATGTAGCTCCTGAACTGTCTATGAAGTTTCTTTTGAATCCCTCCTTACCCTGTGTGCAGGTTTGCTTATTAGTTTTAAATAGGGCACTTGGTTTTCTTACGTAGACTGTTAATTGGAGATTAGACCATTTAGCCTTTCAGGCTGCTAGTTTAATTATGGTAATGTGTAAAATGTATCAGTAAAGCCTGATTGTCTGTGCCAGCTAAATATGTTATCTTCAGTCCAGTTCCCAGTAGGCTGGTGTGTGTCTAAGTCAAATTCCAACAGCAATGGCATTAGTTGCCTCAGCCCACACCCCATAAAGTGAATGAAAAATGGAAACCAGACTGGCTTTTATGTTCCTGAGAGCTAACTGACCCCTACCATTAAGACTGGGAGACATGAATGAAGAACCATTCATTTGGGCAGTATTCTTGTGCATGAACAACATGCTACAGTCTCCAAGGCTGGCAACATGTCACCCTTTGTTACATTAAACTAACACGAAACTTAAAAGCCTGAAGTAAATACTGAATCCACAGAGAAGGCTTTCCTATGCATGATAAGAAAGATGTGGGCTCATCTACTAGGCTGTGTTGCTGAAATAGGGGAGGTCAAGAACTGCTTTAAGTTTTGGTGAAGGAAGTCAGAGTACAGAGGAAGGTGGTGCTGAAAGCAAGCAGGAAAAAAAAGGTGGATTTGAGAGCCAGCTCAGGAAAGCAGGTGTGTAGAATATCATGCTTATTAATTTTTTTAAGTCTGTGTTTCTAATGATTTTTCTGTGTGTTTGTTTCTCATTTCAGATTGCCTGTTTGGTGCCTGTTGACCAGTTTCAGTTGTACAAGAGGTTGAAGTTTGAACGAGGTGTGAATGTTTTTATTTCTATTACCTTCCTTTTTACAGTGTCAGTGGAGGTAGCACTGCTACATACTGCAAAGACAAAGCCTGTTGAGTGAGTTGAGGAACAGACAGAGAAGATGTCTTTGTTTTGAAATATTTTCACTAGATCTCACTGTGCTCCAAGACAAATTTGAAATTCTTTCAGTTTTCCAGAATCAATAAAGTGGCATCTTACTGAATTATCAGACTCTTACTCAAGCATGTGGGCAACGCTTTCAGATTGTGAGCCTGAGGCTCCATCGTTCTTCCTATAGCATGCTCATCCTGAGTCCTTGAGGTGGTGGTTGTACTGTTAGAACTAGACAAGCTGCTAGAGGCTGGTGCAGGGCAGGGCACACAGTCCTTTTATACATCCACAGGGATCTTCAGAACTTCTGGGGGAGACATACCCTGAAGTGCAATGTGGATTTTTGAAAGCATCACTGAAAAATAGATTTTATTCTGTAGAAGCCTCATGTGTGTTCATCTAGTATAGTTGTTCTTTTTTTTCCAGAGGAATAATAGGTCCCCTCATTACTGAGTAAAGCCTATTAGTAAAGAAATTTGAAACTGATGGTCTCACTGGGGCCAAGCTTTCCTATTCCCAGAGGTCAGCCTTCTGCATCTGGAGATGATTCCTTGCCAAGGCTGAAGAAGAAACTTGCTAGTTAGAAAGATGAGATCTCATTCCTGCTTTTAAAGACTGATACCAACTTGAAAGTCTCATTTGGAAGCTGAAGTGTTTTTCAAAGGACTCACTTCATGGTAGTTTGCAGAGTGGTGTGTCTGGGACTGATTTGCCCTAACTCTGCCTGTTTTCAAACTTTCCTTGAAAGACTGTGCTTATATTCTTGCTTTGCATGCATGCTTAGATGCAGGTGGACTAGGAATGTGTAAGACAGTGCAGGGGTTTATAAAAATTAGGCAAAGTAATGCACTTGAAAAGATGGTCATATAGAAGAACATATAGGTTTTTATAGGATCTAATCTGACATGAGTCAGATGACTTCATGAGCACGAAGTACAAAAACTTCAAAATGGGGCATGCTCAAATATGCCCCAGAATTCATAGGAGAGTGCAGATTTTAGCTATGATTTGCAGGCACTCAGGCCAAAAAAAAAAAAAAAGAAAAAAATCCCAGTCTTTGCTATCATTTTTTATTCCTCTCTCTTATTATACCACCTTCTCATTTATCTTTAATTCCTTAGCAAGTCCCTCTGGTCCCTAAGCCCATTGGTGGCTTATCTACAGTCCTAGACAATGGAAATCAGAGCTTGTTAAATTACCATATTAAAGAGTTAAGGAAGAGAGACATTCTTGCAGTACACTAATCTGTTTTATAAAACCTTTTTTAACTGAAGACTCTGAAACGAATGTTTTCTGGTATCTCCTCCTCTATAACTAGGCAAAGCTGAACTCATGATCTTCTGTCCAACTCACTGTTACATCTCTTTTTTTTACTGTCTCCCACACACAGAAGCCTGAAACTTGTCTATTTTTGAAATCCTCCTTCCCTTTTCTTTCTTGCTTAAGTCTGACAAATTCTCCTCTACCTCCGCTACCTCTCTTCATGATGATTCTAAGATCTGTCCTTGCTCCTTTATAGTGAGTAAAACTCATATCTAAGCAGCAGATTTGGACATAGCTTTTTGCCTTGCTTATTGGCCCCAACAATAAATCCAGCTTACTGATGTCTGGGACCAACGATTCCTGCTAGCTAAAGCTCTGACCTGGGCACCCAGCACTAATACCAGCCCTGGCCAAGACCTTCTGCCTGTCCTGGATTTAGCTTTGTCCCCAAGGCTGACCCCATTTTTGGACTCATCAATTGGACTTGGCTTATTAGCTTCCGCTGGCCTGAAGCTCTGTTCTCAGACCTGAGCCTCACCTGCCAAAGCATGCTTGCCCTGACCAATGAGAACACTTGTCTGCCAGTCTTCTTCTGAAGCCAGCAATAAACCTTGATGATGGCTCCTGCTGGGGAGAAATTCTGACCTGGAATCTGCGCAGGGACTCCCGGCAGCCTGAGATCTGTTGTGTGTCTTATGTCTGTGTCAGCCTTAGCACAACCTAGCCTTTTTCAAACCTAGCCCTCTTCTCCCTTAAAATAGGGAGGTGCTAGGGTGTCCTTCATGACTTTTGTTCTGATCAACATAGCTCTATAACTTCCTCTATTCAGACCCTTCTTCTCTCAGCTTTATTCAGTTGAGATATGGCCTCTTTGCAGAGTGCACTGACAATATGCTGTTCTCTTGTGGGTTTTGTGTTCTTAGAATGCAAATATTCTCAGGCTTTAAAACAAGCTTTCTCACATATCTGTATCTTCTCTGCATCCGGTTAGGGCCAAGCCACAGAGCTTATGCACAGAATATTTTAGTGAAGAAATAGGAATTGCTCTATGTCTATTAAGGATGGGGCTGATGTCAGCCCCTATCAGAAGTAAAGAAATAGAGGAATAGTATGTGGTTAGGACACATGCATTATGTTTCTGTTTCTATGACAATTGTCCAGTAGGCTGAGTGGTGGATGATGAGAATTTCCATCTTATGCCTGATGGAAATGTAGTCCATTTTAGAAGGAGGTGTTCCTAATATTCTGTGAAATAGAATCATAGACTCATCCTCTTAATGAGTACCTCTCCTGAGACAAAAATTCTTTTCTTCAGGGTGCTGCATTTCCCTTGTCTGCCTCCCACATCTGACCTGCCTGCTCACATGTTTTATGAAAACTGGCCATATCCCTGCCCAGTGCTGGCATTGTTTGGGAAGACTTTCCTCCTGAGAGTGGAGTGCATTGTGGCTGAACTGGCTGTGGGGAAGCAGGGGAAAGTCTTGGAAGAGAAATGGCCCTAACCAAAAGATGGAGCAACTTGTCAGAGCAGGATGATAGCCTCTTCTATTTTTTTTTGACTGAGTCTTTTTAGATTTTTCTGGTTTCATTTGTACTCCATGATAAACCAAACTGTATGAGACAGCAAGGATTGGAAAACACCCATCTGTAAGTTTTTTGTAAAATGGAGGAAGTGGGAGAGGAGGGAGTTTCATCTCATGAATTACATCTTACTGCAACAAATTGCTAAAAAACAGTGAGATGCAAAAACTCCCCTTCTCCCAGAGATGTCAAAACCAGATGTCCTGTCTTTTACCCAAAAACAGGATAGGAGAATTTAGGTTTCCAGAGTTAAGTATGTTAAACAACTAACTGCAGGACCTACAATTTATCTCATTTTAACTGCTCAATGTCAATAGAAAACATACGGAACCTACTGTGTCCAAGATTAAATTCAATAGTGAGCACTAGGCCATGGCCTTACCCAGTTCAGAGCTTCTTTTAAGACACACCGAAGAAACCAACAGAAATAATGGTTTCTCAGTTAGGACAGTACTTTTAAAAAGTATGTAAAAATGACAAATTACTTGTTTGGTCATGCCTCTCTTCTCTCCACAAATGAAGCTGCAAGCTAATTTGTTCTGGCTTTCATTCAGTGGAAAGCAAAATCCTTGTTTGTGTTTGGAGGCAAAGGAAACATGGGCAAAAGAATAAGAGGAAATAATGCAACTAGATTCATGAAATGGTTGAAGGTAGGTGGTACAGCTGTTTTGCTGGCACTGCCTAAATTATGGGTAACAACTTTTGACATGGATATAGAAATTCTCCTCATCTGTTGGAGCACTCTGGCACAGACTCAGAAATGACCTGAAGTCAGAGCATTGAGTACCTGTGTGTCGTGCAGCCAGCAGAGAAGATGATCATCCTTCTGTGGTTCCAGCCAAATTTTCCAGAGAACATGTATCTGAGGCTCTTGTGCAGCCTTTTATTTCAGGAGGGACAACATTTTGTCTGCTGGAGGTACATTGTAATGGCTTTTGCCGTCTCACAGTCAGGGTTTCCACCTGCTTCTGAGACATGCCCTCCATCTAACTATTCGCAGTGGTGGTACCAGAGAAGTCCCGGGGAAGGATGAGAGACGGGTAGCTCCTGCAGGCACAACAGGTCTTTTCTAGGGAGGCTCTGCAGGGTGTGAGTGTTCAGCTGCATCTCACGGACTTGAGCAGCAAGTGAACAACAGTGAACGTGTTTCCGCTGGGTCTTTTGTTGCAAGTCCAAATTCTTTGAATAAAGCTGAGGAAAGGAGAGAGAGACTCAATATTTATCATTTGCTGCCATGTGGTGATGACTGTAACTCAGTTCCTCCACCCCAAATCTTGACTATTGTTCTAAGCTCACTACTAGACAAAGTGTGATGACATCATACAGTGAATATTAATTGGAGTTTGCAGATAGAGGGGAGTAAATAGGGCATGGAAAGCGACTGGAAATTAATTTAATGACAGTCCTTCTGCTGTTTACACAGAAGTTACTGCATGGCTTGTACCTGCGAAAGACACAGAACACCCTAGTGTTACAAAAGGCACGTGCTTGTCAGCAAGCAGCCTTAGGTTCGTATTTTGGACCTCCCTATAAAAAGGGAAAGATATGCTCTGTGTAGTGTATTTCTATTCTTGTGATGCTTTTAGTGCAGCAGCCTTAGCAGAGTGCAACTGCAGACCTGCCTAAGGAAGAGTAGGCTCAAATCCCCGTGGGCGTGGGTGTGGAGCGCTTTGGCTTCCACACCCGCTTGTAGAATTGGGTCTGGTATGCCTAGGCACATGTTCCTGGAATGAAAAGGAGGCTGTATAAACAGTTTTGTTTCTCTCTGTGTTGCCTTTCAGAAGTGCACTTGGACCCCCAGAGAACATGGTGCCCCACGGCCGACTGCCAAACGGTGTGCCACATTGCAGCAAGCGAGCCTAGAGCACCGGTGCCGGTGGAGTGCCCGGCTTGCCACCTGACGTTCTGCTCCTCTTGCAAGGAGGCCTGGCACCTGCAGCACCTGTGCCAGGAAAACCAACCTACTCCAGTCCCAAGCGAGCAAGGGTAAGAGGGGAGTCCGTGGAGGCCATACATTCTTTTGGTTCTTTTTGTCACAGTGCCCCTGCTTAATATTTATAAAATCCCTCCGTAGACAAACCTTAACTCTCACACAGAGTGTAAATTTCATGCCCTGTGAAAAACCTGATTTTAGCTCATTTTGCTTAGGTGCAAATAACCCATTGACAAGCTTGGATAACTCATTAATGTACAGAAAGAAAGCACTTTTGTGCTTAGATTCTGTCACATGTCTGGCCCTCCGTCTTTATTTTCAGAATCAGATTTTGTTTAGTTGTGTGTTCAAAGTTTTTGATCATTTTTTGCAAGAACTGAAAGACTTAAAATCTAAGCATTCTGCTTGCTGGAGACTTCATTGGATAAGGAGTTGCCAAAAAGCTCTTGCCGTGATTTTTCTTCTCCAGGTTGGATTGAAGGCTTTGGTGGAGTTTCAGCTGATTTTGTTCAGACAGGGACAGTGCTTTGAGTTGCATAATCCAGTCCTGTTAACTGAATTGTGCAAGCTGTCTGCAACAAAGTCCTAAGTTGTAATGCTATAGGTAGTTAATTTGTGGGTGTAGTGAGGGTTGGTTTTATGTAGCATAAAAGAAGAAGGCAATGGAGTTTCACTTTTATGTGATATTAATATCTTACACCTAGTAGTGAGGATATGTCAACGTATGGTACTGAACATAAGAAGCTTCCCACATTTGAGTGCATTAAGACAACAGCACTAGATGCTCTGGAAAATAAACCCAGTGTACTTTAGGCAGTGGAATATCAACAGTAATTGCATTTAGATTTCACTGTGATGTTTCCTTGCTCTTCTAGATCCCTTATTGGAACAGAGACAGAGGCACCAATTAAGCAGTGCCCAGTTTGTCGGATCTATATTGAGCGAAACGAGGGCTGTGCTCAGATGATGTGCAAGAACTGCAAGCACACGTTTTGCTGGTACTGTCTACAGAATCTGGATGTAAGTGCTGCAGGAAAAACGCCTAGATAAAGAGTAACGGGGTTGGGCTTAGTGTGAGGCCCCGTCCAAACTCTTCATTCATTCCTTGCTGTCCTAGCAAACATCTTGGCTTCCTTCAGCTTCTGACTCAATTGCTTTCTCATCTTTCACCCAGTGCTTTTATTTGTATCAGTATCCCTTTTTCCCCCCGAAGGGTTATAGCCTCATCTGTGGGTCCCATGCTAGTTCTTTGAGGGAAATAAGATGGACTGGTTGCTTTCTGGAGGTTCTTTCCAGCAACACCTTGCTCTTCTTCCCTCTTCCAGTAGTTAAAACCCATTTGCTTGAGAGTGAGGGAAAATAAGTGTCTTCCCCCTGCTTCAACAAAAAAGGACACAGCCCGTCCAAAAACTGGTATGATACTGGTTGAAGTGAGTTGTTCCATGGTAGAGTGCTTAAGAGCTCATGGACTGTGTTTGCTGAAGAGACTGGTTGGTTGGGAAGCTTGAGTTTAAACATGTTGGATTATGAGCCTGGATTGTGAAGTGCCTGTTGGTTTCTCAAGGGTTGCAAACTAGTCTCAACTCGTGTGGACTTGAAGTTTCCTAGCAGGATTAAGAGTCCCGGAAGTAATGTGCTCGTGTCTATGGCAGTTTGCCTTTTTGGCACAGACATCACTAATAACTGTGGGAGTGTGAAAAGGACTTTACCAAGCTCTTGAAACAAAATGTTATGTGCTGCATGACTTTTCTTGTCCTCTTTTTTGTACTGCAACTCCTGTTGCAGGCA